CAACAGGAGTCCTGGTGTGGTCCGTGCCACTTCCCACCTTAGCCATGTGAGAGCTCCCAGTAGGCCACCAAACTCATTACACAAGGCAAAGGACTGACAGGAATTCCTGAGATGATAGAGCAGCCCAGAAGAGGCAGGGGGAAATGCACCACCATGGTGAGTCAGTTGCAAGAGTATCATTTGCAAACCCAGGCACTAGGACAGCAGTTTCCAGCACCAGGGCACTGGGGTCTAAGGTTGCTGCAACACCTTCCCTTCATCTGGCAAGTAGGGATGGAGACAGAGCAGGAAGATTTTCCTGGCTCCGCTGGGCTATACATTGACACACTACACATCTCTGATACGGTACTCTGCTACTCAGAAACTCAGCCTGGATATCTTCCATGCACAACCCCCAAAGGCATCCTCTCATATGGAGTTCAGGCTCTTTCTGCAGCCCTACCAACATGTCTTCTCCCTGCCAGCAGATCTGGGGGTGACAGTTGCTGGGTCAGTAGGTGCTACCTCTGTCTTTCATATCTGGGCCAGCTGACTCAGCAAGATGGCACGGTGCCCAAGGACTACCACCCATTCTTGGTGATAACACTGCACAGGGGATCTTCTTCTGCCTAGTGTGACACTGGGCGGAAGGGCTGGGAATGGGCAGACACATCACTGCTGGGGAGCCTGAGAAAAGGCTTGGATTTCTCCTAGCCAGCCTCTCCTGCATCCCCATCAACATCCCAGCAACACCCCTAAGAAATGGGAAAGGTTGGCCCAGCCAGGAACTGTGCCCCTGCTCTGAGATCCAGCTACTTTAGCCTCAGTGCTCACAGGCATGCAGAAGACACAGCTTGCCACAAGCTTGCTTGCACTCCCCTTTCCCTGAGCCCCTCCATGCCTCTGATCCCAGCAGTGCAGGGCAGAGGGAGATGAGTGCTTGCAGATGCCGTTGTACCCTGTTTGCACATATGAGCTGTTCTGGATGGGGATCACATAACTAGCATCAAGCAATATGCAAGTCCATGGCCAGGCACAGTGCAGCCCTGGCTTTACAACCCAGTATAAAATGTTTATTGTTCTTCCTTTTTTGGAGCAGCATCATCTGCAGCTGGTCTTTACCAGGTATCCCACCTTAATTACCCTCATTTGTGTAATGTCTTCCGGCATGAGATTTCAGGTGTCCAGCATCCTCTTAGGGCTCCTGCTATTAGAATCATAGAATAGTTTGGGTTGGAAAGGACCTACAAAGGTCACCTAGACCAACTCCATCTCCCACCCCCATTACTTGCTCTCTGATTTGCTTTAAATACATCCCTTCTTAAGACATATTATTTATGTCTTTCAGAGGGGGTTGTGTGTCTAAATCTATTTTTATTCAAGATTTCTTTCTGAGATAGGAAAACTAGGAATCTATCCTGAGTTGCCACCAGGGCAAAGGTTTCCCTCAGATATATTTACACATTCAAGAAGACAATAAGGAAGATTTACTCTTGCAAAGACTCATGCATGTATTTGACTTGAGACACCTGTACCATTCCTTCATGGCAAGAGAAACAGCTTCAAGCTGAAAGTTTACCTACACCTAAGGTTTGTTTGGTTTCTTTTGTTAGTTTTTTTTTGTTTGGGTTGGATGTTTTTTATTTGTGTGTGTGTGTGTGTGTGTGTGTGCATTTTTCCCTTGTAAACAAAGAACTTTGGAAATAAACGGTTGGATTTGCAAAGGGTCAGGACAGCATTCAGCTCAACTGAGTGTAGGAACACAGCTAGTGAGTACTGCTGCATAAAAACAAGGGAAAAAGAGAAAGGGAAGGATGTGAAAAAGAAGAGTAGGAAGCCTATGCAGCACTGCAGAGAAATTCCATGAGCACCCCACTTTCGAGGTGAAGTCTCCCAATGCTCAGCTCTGTTGCCACATGGGGATGGATCAATTCTAATACCATGTTGGGTCTGGATCCCTATCCCACATATATGAACACCCTATGCCCAGCACACCAATGACGTGGGAGGGAACCCACACTGAATGTCACGGAGGAGTAATCTCAACGCTGACTTTTAGTGTAAGCATCCTTTCCTGTGACCTCTTCAGAGAGCCTCAGCTCCTCTGCAGGCTCTGTCTCTCCCATCATATCTGTGTGCTTTTGCCCCCTTCCTCCATCACACCCCCCCCCTCCCACCTTCTTTTAAGTACAAACATCACGTAAGCCCAGACAAAAACCCAGTTAGCAGCCAGATTCCTGTCAGCACTTGTTATCTCTGTGTGTTAGCTGCGTCCTTAGTGAACTGCTTAAAAATAAAGGCAGAAGACCATTGCCCATGGACAGGAATTTTCCACCAGGTAGGTACAGCCAAGCTTGGTCATGCGAAGTGGTGCCCTGGCTTGCGTTGTGTGCCATCACCATGAGAGGCAGCTGTGCCCATGGGCAGCCCCTTCCTGCACTGCCTAAATCCCACTGCCCAAAAAAGGCACTTTTCATGGGCCAGTTGAACCTGAAACATCCATGACCTTGACCAAGGGGGACAGTCTCCAATCTCCAAATTCATCCTGCAGGGCCACTAGCTCACTTGAGACTCAGAATGACTTTGGCACAAGGCCTCATGCATGAAATGGTTTAATGCTGACCTTTGTCCTCACAACATGAGGACTAAGCAGAGGGATGGCTTTCTCAGTGATGGGTGTCTCTGTTCCATCAAGTTGCCTACAAGAGTTTTACTAGAGTCCAGCCCCAGTGGGGTTGCTCAGGAGGAGAAGGTGGGGACTGTGGGCTCTTTGAGGCTAAAGACATATCTGGGAGGGAAAGCATCCTCAACTTTGCTGGAGGGGCACTTCCTCTGCAGCACAGAAGTGGCCCACTCAAGCTGTTGGAAACCAGCTGAATAGCTACCAGGGCAGCCTAAACTGCTTCCCCTGACCGTGAGCAGTGAGATCAGAGGGTTTCCAGAGGAAAACTCCACTGCCTGCTCCCCAGCCCACTTTCCAAACAGCAGGACTGCCTCTGGCTCCCTGCCACTCCACATCTGGAAGGGAAGCATCAGAAACAGACATGCTGGGTACTTCCGTCCTGCAAATCTGGGAACTGAGAACGCTGTTTCATTGCACTGGAGCAGGGAGGGTTTCGCTGGTATTATTATTCCAAGCTGGCTTCAAGTCCTAGGAAAACAAAAGCTTCTTCCTTGCCAAAGGGAGAGCTGGCTAGAGGCAGCCACTGGAGAGGAGGGCTGGGATTCTAAATGCTACATTTTGGTGTTTAAATTTAGCCCTAGATTGAAATTCTGCAGACAAGGGTTTTTTGGCTGTCTGGTCTGCATTGAGACAAAGGCAGATGACCAGCTTGACCAAAGAGAACCTTCCAGAAGCAATAGAGATGTCAGATATTGATAGCTCTGGTTGTGCCCTGTGCCACCTGCTTTTTTCCTGGGGCACAGAAAGTCATTAGGCTTTTGGCCTCTTGTATCCAGCCTTTAAGCTTTAGAATGCCAGTCCTCAAGCCTTAGGATGCTAGTCCTTGCCTGGGAAGGGAACCAAGCCCACACTTCTATTTTATCACTATTATTGCTGTTCATTTCTCTCACCTTACTCCAGGGCATGGTCAATGGCTTCAAGTTAAAAAAGCCTTGGTCACAGCAGGTCTCCCCTCTGCATTTAGGCCCCTAAAGATGTGTTAGACACTTTTTTTTTTCTTCCAAATACATAATTTAAAGGCTCCAACCAGAAGTTTTTTCATAGTGCTTGATCATACCACCTGGGAAGCTGGGCATTGTCCAATACTTGCCAAATGCTGTCACCTACCCACGGCCAAGCTCTGTGGCCTCTGCTTGGGTTGGCCATTGCAGTAAAAGCCAGCAAATAAGAAATCAGGAGAAATTCTGTTTATTTGCTGGAGTTCTGCAGACAATTAATATGGCCTTGTCCTTTGGATGAACCTGGTTTGATAAGGATCCTATTCATACTCCAATGATTCCGTAAGAACAGAAAGTTGACCTGTGCTTGTCTGTTGCCTGCAAGGGAAACGTGCCTCCAGGCTTGTACCCCTGGGAAAAGAGAGATGCTCCAAGCTTTCACGGCTTTTCCGCACAAATCCAGTGCTACATGAGAAGTACCCTATAAACGAGGCAGAAGGAACAGGGAAAGGTGGGGAATCACTCTGATGTAACATGACACAAGGTCATTTCATACAGCGGCTCTCCTGCAACTGCTTTCCCCAAAAAGCTATTCAGCCCCAAATCCAGACCTCTGGATTTGTTCAGAGCTGCTGTATGTGACCACTGGCTGGCTGATAAGCACTGGAAGTAGTGTGTGGCTTAAGAAACAACCTAACTTTAAAGGACACCTAAGAATAAATATATCACAGTAGACCTTCTTTAAGATGAATGGATTACCAATTGCGAATTTTTTTTATACACAGAGTACTAGAATAATGCAAACAGCCAAACACCCAGTTTCTTGGCTTATTAAAATCCAGGGGAAGCTGATCCTCTTTGCACACAGCTCCCTAGGGATGAACTGTCTCGCTGTGGAAGGGCTAAAATGCTACAGGGATGCACAGAAAGCTTTTGAGCACAGAAAGTCTTCAGCAAACACAAAGGTAGCTTTGTCTGGAGTATATCTACCTTCTTTTTTCTTAAATACTAATTCTGACTTAAAGGTAAATATATAACACACATGGAAATATGTGCTCCTGTCTAGGAAAAGAACTGCAAACACACACTGCCATGCACAATCTAGGAAGAGCAGAAATGCAATCAGCTTCATGTTGAAAAACTTTTCCCTGCTGCCTGCATAAGGAGAATCAAGTGGATTCAGTGAGTTGCTTAAGCATATGCTTTGCTAAACCTGTGGCTCAGTGAGAAAGATGGATCAAGGAAAGGTGCTGCCCACTGCACGAGAACTGTAATACAGATGAAATCAAACTTAGCTGCTCTGCTGAAGCTTTGAGTGACCCTGAAGATATGGGGAATAAAGATTAGCTCTATTTAAATCAACTCAATTGCTCCTACAATACCCATATTCTTCCTAGCAAGTGCTTTTGCTTTTAACCGCTTTTATTGCTTCCTTTCCCTGAGCAGTCACTGCCATGACAGGATCAGCACTGTCAGAAATGCTCACATCTTCAGATTAAAATCCAGTTCTTCTCTGAAGAGCAGCTGTGGAAGTGTTGAAGGGGATTTGATTTCAATGACCTGCAGAAACTGGTCATACAAAGCATCAGCTTTGCAGCCCTACCAAGAAGTAGAAGGGGATGGTGCCGCCAAAGCAAGAGGTTTCTGCTCAGAAGACTCATGGGCAGCACATCCAAGTTTCATTGGGTCTTTTCTCTGTAGAGACTCTGTGATGTTTCTTCAGGATGGGCTCCACTTGTAAATAGTTGAACCATCCTAATGAATCCAAAAGGAGAATTAGAAAGCTATAGGCATAACAAGAACATTTTGTAGTTTTTATTGCCCAAAGTCACACCTTTGCTTTTGGTTTGCATGAATCCCTGGTATTTTTGCAAAGGCTTATTTGACCACAGTAAAAGGAATGTATCACTGGACTCAAGCTCCTTCAGGCCAAATTTTTCCTTGCAATTTTTTTTGGCCAAATTTTTCCTTTGCCTGCAAGAGCCACCCCCTCTCACTTCCACATGGTTATACAAATATACATGAGAACGCTCTGAGTTTTTACTACACTGTTAATTTCTAGCAGGTCTTCCTGAAAACAGCCCTTCCTGGATGCCCTCTGGTTTCACAAGTGCCAACACCTTTTTAAACAACCCATAGAAACTAGGGAAAACAAACTTGAAACAAGCAAAGGCAATCAGCTGAAAAAAAGCACAACCACATGCCTCAAGCTCATCCTGTGGAGTGGACCAGGGGAAGGGGAGGCAGAAAGCTAATAGTGGCCTCGATGCTGGCTGCATCCCACCCGCAACGATGCTGGCTGGGAGGGCAGCCCAGCACAGCCTGCTGCCTCCAATCACACCGCCAGCAGCTCCTGTTGCTATGGCCCTCAGGTCTGAAAATTTGGAAATTAGGTAAAAGGTCTAAACAAGAAGCTTTTTTTCCACCTCCCCCCACGAAATGGTGCCTCTTGCCTAGCACAATCCCTCTTCCTGCTGAGCCCTAGGAGGAAAGCAGCTGGGATGAAGAATTAACTCTTGTGGTCCCAGGGGCTTTCCAAAACAGGAGTGACAACATGGGGAAGGGGGAATGTACAAGCAGATCTTGCTTCCTACCTGCCCTGCGGTGATGAACAGGAGAAAAAAACACATGTATGAGGATAGATGCATTCTCTCCTACCCCCAGAAGGGAGATGGATTTTAAATGGGTTTCGTGCTGGTGGAACAAACTGCCTGGAGATCCCAGGGAATGGGAATTTTCCATCCCCTGAGTACAATTTGGCATTTCTGAGGCTGCATCCTAGACCTGGAGGGACTCGTCTTCCCTCCTAGAGCAAAAGATAGTCCTGACACCTGTGCACGTGGGTCCCCAAGCTCTCCCTTCAGCCCGGCAAGGGGATGGCTCTGCTCAGCAGAGGTCGGTTTGGTCCAGGCCAGACCAAGGGCATCTCTGGCTGAGGCTGGAGTGCTGGTGATTAGAGACAGTGCTAAACTGGCAATGCACCTGCCTGCCGCAGACCCACGAACTGACCTGATGCTTGTCCTGTCCCAGAGGCAGCCTGCAGGCACTCACCTGTGCTCTGTGCTACATGGCATGTCTGCACCCCCCTGCCCACCAGGGCCACCCCAGGCATTGCAGAGATGTACCTCGAGAGGCCACCCATCCCGCTATAAACATCTCTGCTACATCAAGGTGGGCTGGCAGGGAAGGTGCTGGCCGCATCAGCAGTTTTAGAGGTTACCCCATCCAAGCCCCATTACACTGCTGCTCTCTCCAGGTGAGAGAGCAATTGCCAGCAAATTTCAGCTGAGAAGCTCTTGGTTACTCAGCCAGCCTTTCCAAAACCTCTTGTCTCAATAGCGACCTAGGCACCCTCATGGCACAGGGCCAGGCAGCTCCACAGGGCACAGGAACGATGACAAAGGCATCTTTGTTTCTCTTGTCTGCTTGCTACTTCATCGCAGCGCTGGGTGGCACCTAAGAGGTGGAGCCATCGTTCCACAGAAAGCCTCCAGCAGTGTTTCCCGGATGCTGCATCAACACAGCAGGATAGGGTTCCTCATCCCCCCCCCTTCCCCTGACACCAACCCAGGAGCAATCGAGGCAGGATTTGTCCACTATCTGCTTGACCACGTGTTTGTATTAATTCTTTCTGGAGCAGACTCCTGTTCCCATCTCTGCTTGTCTCCCTGAGAGCTAGGCTCATCTCCCACCCGGTGCACATCTTCCCCAGCGCTGTGGGGTGGGAAGCTACGAAAAGCACCATACGCATTTTACCTTCTCTCTTTCAGCCTTGTTATGTAGGGAAGTTAAGATGGATAAACTACAGGTGTCAAGTCCTTAAAGTCTGTAGGGAAAGGAATTATATTCTATCAAGACAGCTAGAGAAACCTCACAGAGATGCAGGCCCAAAACTATCATAGGTCTGAGATGGAGCAAGAAGTCTTCAAAGCAAGGACAGACCAGGAGCAGAGCTAGTTCACATACCTAGTTTGAAGCTGGCCATGTCTCTGCTTACACATTTCTTGTTTTCTTTCTCTTGTGCCAGCAGGTAATCTGTTTTTCTTCCAGCAATGAGGTATGTCTAACGGAAGTATTGCCTTTCCTGAGAATCACTGTCTTTGCCATCACCCGAAACCTGCCCAGCAGCCACAACAATGCTCCTACTGCTCGGAAAGCATGGTCTGCTTTCTTGCAGACGATCTCACTAAGAAATAAATCTCCATTTGGCACAACAGCTAGACTTAGCTACAGCAAAATACGATCACTTTCAGAAGATCATCATGATCTTTGTTCACACTCTCACCTCCCTGCTTAGAAAAAGCCCACCTGGAAAAAAAAAATTGCCCTTGGATATTAAACATCTGGAGCTCTTATAAAACATCAGCTGGGGGGTACTCAAAAGGAAAGTAGATGCAAATCAGTGGAGAACTTTGCTTCTTGAATCCTCCTTGGCTGCTCTCAGCCCTGTCGGGCAGTTTGGAAACTGTGAGCTAGGCTAGGATGGAAGCTCATGCCTCTCCCACCAGAACAAGCTCCCAAGGCAGCCCAGATCCTGGCCATCCCCATTGCTGTCCCACACTCAGGAGAGCAGCGTGAGCCAAGCTAGGACCCAGTGAGGTTGTGTACGTGGCTGTTCAGATCCCAGTTTGCACGGGTGCTCTGGGGGGTTAGCAATAACCATCATTTTCCTTGCAAACTGCCTTCGATCTCAGTATAATTGGGATGCTGAAAACATGGGTCCTATGCCTCACTTTTCCTTTTAAATACAGAGCTGCTCTGCAGAGCCGGTCTGTCTGCTACACCATCTGTAAAACAGCACCAGACTCAAAAAGAAACCAAAAGCAAACAAAACCCAGAACTTCCCCCAAAACCCCAAACTAACCAAAACCCCCACAGGAGGTGGCCTTGCTAAACACAGTTAATCCTACAGAGGCTGATTTCTAGAACAGCAGGGGTCTGCTTTGGGTCTCAGCCTGCCTCACGCACAGCTGGTTGCGGCGGACTTGGTGATGTGTGGGTAGGAGGAGCCAAAGCAGAGCTCGGACGGTGTGTGCCCTCACGGGTTAAAACTACAGCGTACAGCTGGTTGGTGACAGGCTCTAGCTCCAGCAGTTGGTGAGAGACTTCTTTCAGGCAGTGCACTTCCCCCCCCCAAGTTAATCATTTCGTTGATCCCGCTGACAACAGACTGCAGAAACAGAAATGAGCTCGCCCTTTGCCTGGCCTTGTTACTCAGCAGTTCCTGGCCCTTCTCCTCTGGGGACTTCCCTGTACCCAGCTGCCACTGCAGGGACCCACAGACTGTGCGAGTATCCCGCAAGCCACAGGGACCAAGGCAGGCAAGAGGTTAAACTGGGAGCCTGCCCACGAGACTGGTTAGATCAGTCTGGTGGCCCTGTCCTAGTAAAGGCGGAAACAGGAGCTATGTCCAACACCGGGGACTCAGGGCAGTAATCCGGGAAGCAAGGAAGAGCACACCTTGCCCAAATCCCAATCCACTTCAATCAGAGCAGTAGCCCCAACACAGTCTGAACTGCAGTTCATGAAGCACCATCCTGCCTGAAGTGCCATGCAGTGACAGCCAAGTAAAGCATCCTTTAGCCCGTCTCCAGCAGCCATGTTACGTGGTGGTAGGCAATTAAATAGCATCTCATTTCCCCCTAGGGCAAGCAAAACAATATTTCTCCCTGTCTCTGCAAGAGGAAAGAGATGGGAAGGATACAGGGTGGAGTAAAAATTAATGAGGTGCCTTCCCCGTTTTCAATTCTCTCTTGCCACATAAGGTTTAATGGTTGGAAAGCAATCTGAAATGAGCAGATGTCAACAGCACTGGAAAAGTGCACCCATGCAAATGAGTCATAAGCCCAGCACACCCAACTGACCCTACAGACGGAGCAGATATGTACAAGACAATAAACCCTGTGCAGCTCCTAGCAAAGAGAAACCAAGTCAGGCAGAAAAGGCCATCCGTGTGCGTGATTTATTCAGTGCCTTCCCCTCACCCCCACTGCTCCCATCACTGCTGTTTTCCACTTGCCACTGTGTTGAGGGGATATCCACGTTGCTCTGGAGCAGCCACCTTGGTCGCTGTGGACATGGCAAGCCAGAGCCAACCAGCACAGGTACTGGGGACAGCACGGCCAGGACTGAAGCATTTGTTTATTCAGCAAGGGGCAGAGGGATGTGCAAAGCAGAGGAAAATCTCCAATAGTAGCAAGATGATGGACACAGTGCCTCTGACAGCAAAGTTCCATTAAGCTCCTCAGGACTAAGAACCAAATCCACAGGGTGAGGGGAACAAACAAAACACCTGAAACAAAGCAAACAAAAACAACCAAACAAAAAAAATCAGTGTTTTCCTATGGAGGAAGATTGCATGTTTCCTCATTATCAAAATATAACAAATGGCCCAAAGAAAGAAAAACAAACAAACAAACAAACAAACAAACAAACAAACAAAATAATAAAAAAAAAACAACAAAAAAAACACCCCAAAACCCCAAATGCAAAACTAACCAGACAAAAATCCTCACATCTGAACATGTTCCTTCCCCTTCAGCTCCTCTCAGCCTTCTCCAATCTTCCATATCCTTCTCATCCCACTCTGAGCTAACAGTTAGTGCATTAGTGGACAGACAGAGCAGAGGGATGGGAAAGTTGAGATGAGCATTGAGAGGAGTCACTGTTTTAACTAATTCAGCACACAGAGCCGCTTTGCTCTGACCTGTCCTTTCTTCTGTGCAGAGGACAGGTCTGAATGAGAGTATGGGGTAGTGCTGGTATGGGGGGGTCCAGCATGGCCTGCGGGTCCAGCAGCAGAGGGGCAAGTGTCTGCAGGCATCTGAGGCAGAGGGATGACTCCTGCTGTGCTGGGGAGATGGACCAGTGGTGCCCACAGGGACATCTGCTCCTGCTTTCTATTTTCCATGACACTGATGTTCAAAACAAGCTGTTC